TGTATTTATTTATTTGAGAGAGTGAGTGAGAGAGCACGAGTGGGGGGAGGAGCAGAGAGAGAGGGAGAAGCAGACTCCTTGCTGAGTGGGGGAGCCCAGCCTGGACCCAAGGCTCCATCCTAGGACTCCGGGATCATGACCTGAGCCAAAGGCAGCCACTTAACAACTGAGCCACCCAGGCTCCTTGTGGCATATGTTATTAAGGAACAAATAGAATATTGTTAATACAGACTCATCCAAATTATAAAATCTGTTCCATTTTCTTGCTTTGGTATTTCATACTTATATTTTCATACTCCATAACTTTGAAAAGACCTGATGGATTTGACCAAATTGTGTGTATACATTTATTTATTCAACAACAATAAAAAATTTACAGAATGCTTATGTGCCAGGCACTGTTCTAGGCCCAAGAGAAAGAGTGAACAAAACAAAGTCATTGTGTTCATGGTGATTTTACCCTAGTGAGAAGTCAGTAAACAAATATATGATAAATGTCAGGAAGTGATAAATGATGTGAAAAAAAGTCAAGTAGACCAAGAGGTTACAATGTGACCAGAATACAATTCTTTGCATGGAGTGAGGGGTCTCTGAGGAGATAAACATTTTCCCACAATTTTCCTTCTTTTGTCTCTTGGGTCAGTTCAGTTAATGAATGCAGGATTCAAGGCAGTTTTTGTATCTTTTGGTATTGTTCATATAATCATTAAAACAGCTATGGTGAGGTCCTACTTCTTTCCAATTCCTTACCACTAAAAGAGATGAATGCCTGGATTATGTTCTTCATTCCTTCATTGCTCTTCCATACACTTAACTGCTTAAGCATCTCCACCCACGCATCCATCCTTTTACCTTTTATCCAAAAAAACGTGCCTTGTATCTGTTCCAATTTTCCAAAATCTTGGGGTATGATTCATTTAATTAAAAATTATATTGTACAATTAAATGTCTTCCAGATGTTAGGTTATAATGTAAAATTGCTTCTGGAGAGAGTTCTTTTAGCCAAGCCTCTCTCCTAGTAAACTCTCAGCCATTGAAATTTGATGTTTTGGATGATCTCACAGTGATCGCAGCCTTAATGCCCAAAAGCCCTGAATAAAATTGTACACTGCTCAAGTGTTCTATAGCATAGCACAAGTCTAAAATAGGTAACTGGCACCCACCCCATACCTCATTGTTGGCTAACTGACTTGTCCCATAAATAGCTCAGTGTTACACGATCGGACAACTACAACTAACGGAAGGGATTTTTGTTTCCCAACACACATGTGTAATCTTTGGAGGTCCACAAAATCAAGACCTGATTCACTGAACCCTAATCGTAACATAGTTAAGAGACTGGTGCAAATCAGTAGCCAAATCATTTTGGATGGTTTTCAAGTTAGCCCTGCTTTCCACCAAATTTTACATTATGGATCCTAGTGTTAGAATAAGATTCAGTTTTTGTACCCTCTGTGTACATGAAAGTAATGTTGCTGCCACAATCAGGTTGATCCCAGAGAGTTTCTGCCAACTGAATTAAAAATTCTCAGGTAAATCTGAGAAGGCATCATGGTAGTTTTATAAAACTTTTTCTAGAATCAAGAGCATGTTTTAAAAACCTACCTACTATTGGAATATAATGGTTCTTGTTTCTAACTCTTAGCTGGAATGTATTGTTTTTATGTCGGAGAGATTTTTTTTTTTTTAAAGATTTTATTTGTAAGAGAGAGAGCACAAGCAGGGGGAGCGGCAGGCAGAGGGAGAAGCAGGTTCCCTGCTGAGCAAGGAGCCCGATGTGGGACTCGATCCCAAGACGTTGGGATCATGACCTGAGCCTAAGGCAGACACTTAACCGACTGAGCCACCCAGGCATCCCAAGATCTTATTTATTTGAGAGAGACAGAGCAAGCAAGAAAAAGCACAAACGGGGAGGGCAGAGGCAGAGGGAGAAGCAGACTCCCCGCTGATCAGGGAGCCTAACACCAGGCTCTATCCCAGGACCCTGGGATCATGATCTGAGCCAAAGGGAGATGCTTAACCGACTGAGCCATCCAAGGGTCCCTGTCAGAGAGATTTTTAAATACTGTAATTTAACAGAAGATTGCTTCATAAATTCCTTAGCAGTAACTCAGAAGGTGAAACTTGGGGCATTTTTCCAGATAAATCTATGCCCTTCGTGTGTAAAGCATTGCAGCTTAGGTAACTGGAAATAATACATAGGGTTCAATTCATGTTTTAAATATTTTCACTTTTCTTTTACTGGGTCTTTTTCAAAATGGCAGCACGTTTATTGCATTTCTAGTCAAAATACCAAATCTAAAACAAGTGCTTTTTTTAATAGATTTTCTTTATTTATTTGAGAGAGAAAGAGAGAGCACAAACAGGGGGAGCGGCAGGCAGAGGGAGAAGCCGGGAGCCCAATGCGGGACTCAATCCCAGGACCCTGGGATCATGACCTGAGCCACCCAGGCACCCTAAAACAAGTGATTTTTTAAAAAATTCCTGTGCTAATTATCTTACTGTTAAAATGCTGCTTATTGTTACTTCAAGTTTGGCACAAAAGTAAATATGTCTGTGATATCAGAGTTATAGGCAGTTCTTCCCCTAATTCTGGCTTTGTACTTTTACTCGTAGGATTTCAGTATGTTTTACAGTCGGCGCTTCATAGACCAAGTTATATACCTTTCCATGGCCACACTGAATGTGTACATTTTGAAACATTTTATTTTTTTTATTTTTTTATTCTTATGTTAATCCCCATACATTACATCATTAGTTTTAGATGAAGTGTTCCATGATTCATTGTTCGTGCACAACACCCAGTGCTCCATGCAGAACGTGCCCTCCTCAATACCCACCACCAGGCCAACCCATCCTCCCACCCCCCATTTTGAAACATTTTAAAGCTAAAATTCAGTTCCAGAATACTGATCTTTATTCTACCAAGAAGGGCTTAAAAGCATTAAAAGCATTTATCTCTAGGTTTTTTAATTGTGAATATTTATTCTAGTGGATTTAAAGGGGGATAAAAAAAAACCCCACCCAAACCACTGATCGTTTGTTTAACAGATTAAAACCATGGCTGTGTGGATACAAGCCCAGCAACTCCAAGGCGATGCTCTTCATCAAATGCAAGCATTGTATGGTCAGCATTTCCCCATTGAGGTGCGACATTATTTATCCCAGTGGATCGAAAGCCAAGCTTGGTAAGTGAACACAGTTTTTTCTATCATATTTAGTGAAGCACAAGCATATTGAAGTTTGATTGGAAGGGTAACATGATGGAGGCTTTAAAAATTGTACATTTTTAAAAAATTATTATTTTTTAAAAGATTTTCTCTTATTTTTTATTTATTTGACAGAGAGAGAGACAGCGAGAGCAGGAACACAAGCAGGGGGAGCGGGAGAGGGAGAAGCAGGGTTCCTGCTGAGCAGGGAGCCCGATGCGGGGCTCGATCCCAGGACCCTGGGACCATGACCAGAGCCAAAGGCAGACACTTAACGACTGAGCCACCCAGACTCCCTAAAGTTGTACATTTTTAAAAAATGATGTGACGCAGGTTAAAAGTTATTTAACCCTAGCTTAGATTTTAGGGAGATGGAATAACTCTTGGGATTTTTAAAATAGGATTTTTTCCTATTTTATTTTATTTTTTCCTATTTCCCTTTAATAGTAAATTCTGGCTAAAAGCATTAGATCATTGCTGCTAATAAACAACAGTTGAAAAATATGTTTTGAGTGCCTACAGGGTGTAGAATTCATATGAACAGAGTAAAGCCCTTGTTTGTCCACAAAGAATTTAGTGCTTGGTGGGGCAGCTAAGGTATGCATATGCATATCATTTAATAAAATGTATTATTAACAAAGTTAACAATGGAGACATTGGTGTTTTTAAATTTATATATACACATAAAGACCAAAAGACAATACACCAAAATATTAACAATAATTACGTTCTTGGTGGCAGATTTAACAAGCATGTTTTTACTTTTATTTTCCAAATTGCTGTTTGGAAATATACTCAGAGGGAAAATTATTTTTAAATTCTTTCAGAGTATAATGCAGTAGATTGACAACAGAGCTTTTGAATGGACATTACTGTACACCAGGCTCGGGGCCTGCTCTGCTCAGGGCCTGGGAACATGTTGGGTGCCCAGCAGCCTGTCCTTCTGATCGGACAGGCTCATCAGCTGCTTCAGGCCTCCATGGGGCTGGGGGGGCGGACAGGGCAGGGTCCACCCCAGCAGAGCCCATGACCGGCGGCTGCTCTGCGACCGTCCGAGCAGGCCTGTGTACCTGTTAGTAAGGCCACCTTGTGGTAGTCGCAGTTGCGTGTTAGTAGCAGATTTCTGGTCAGAAGCTAAGGAGCACCAAAGGAAGGCAATTTTCTGGGCAATTAAAAAAAAAAATCTCAGCCTCGTGTAATGAAGTGAGAAAAAAAACCAAGCTAAACATAAGCACATCAGCTGCACCTTGCTTAGCGCTTTTCCATTTCTTTTTCATTTTATTTTCTGTTTTAATGATTTGGAGAGTTCAGAAAAACATCAGTAGGAAATTTCTGGTGATTTAAATTTTCATTTAGTAGATTCCCCATGTAGTTTCTTACCGAACGAATGTTAAAGGACTTGTGTTGATATCAAGGAAAACTTGAATTTTATTTAGCTTGGTTTTCTTAAGAACAGATATTTTAATTTAAAAAGATGTTCAGTTCGGGGCGCCTGGGTGGCTCAGTTGGTTAAGCGACTGCCTTCGGCTCAGGTCATGATCCTGGAGTCCCGGGATTGAGTCCCACGTCGGGCTCCCTGCTCAGCGGGGGTCTGCTTCTCCCTCTGACCCTCTTCCCTCTCGTGCTCTCTGTCTCTCATTCTCTCTCTCTCAAATAAATAAATAAAATCTTTAAAAAAAAAAAGATGTTCAGTTCTTCATGTTTAAGCTAAGAAAGGCTTTTTTTTCCTTTTTAAGTAGAGAATTAAGTTTTCAAGTGCCAGAACCAGTACTTGATTTCCGTGAGTTTTGCACAGAGACGATCTTCTCAAGAGTGGGTTCCTCAGATGAGGAGCATTAATGCCAGTGGAAACAGAGGTGCAGGGCTGCCCTTCATTCCTCCCAGGCTTTTATTTAATACATACTTTATTTAGTACAGAGAGGATACATATTTAAAATTTGGCTTTCTCTACTACCTTCTCAGAGTACAGATGTGGGCATATTATTGCTGAACTATATTATCATCAGTGTTTTGGCACACCTGCTTGTGCCTTTGTTTGAAATTAGTTGCTAACTGACTTCAGGGGTGTAGAGGTGCAGCCTTTTAGCTACCACTAGATCTCTTGTTTGGCTCCAGACCCGGTCAGCAGTAATTGAATGTTATTTCAATCTGACAGCTGTTTGGTTTCTTCAGTGAGCTGAGTTAAGCAATTTAATACTGCCCAATAGCAATTGTTGCCTAAATTGTTTGAAAAAAGAGAGTTGGTGAGGGGAGTGGGGGAAGGAGGGAAGGAAGGAATAAAGAAGAGAAGGAAAAGAGGGAGGGAAACTATCCAACCCCCTTGTCACCAGTTTAGTGGCTCTGAATTAATACCAAGTCCGTAGAGTGGTTTCTCTGCATCACTGGAAGAGTTAGCCTACAGGTCCCAGATCTGCAACCAGTAATTTGTATAAATACTTGCAGGCACCTTCTGTCTTAATATCTCATTTCCAGGGTTCCTTAGAAATAGCAGTGTGTTCCACCTGTCTTTACTTAAGAAATACTCTGTGAGGGGCGCCTGGGTGGTTCAGCCGGTTAAGCATCTGTCTCTGGCTCGGGTCATGATCTCAGGGTCCTGGGATCGGTGGCATCTGGCTCCTGGCTCAGCGGGGAGTCTCCTTCTCCCTCTCCCTCTGCCTCTCCCCCTGCTTGTGCTCACTCTGTCTCTCTTTCTCTCTCTCTCTTAAATGAATAAATAAAATCTTTATAAAAAAAAGGAAAAGAAAAAAGAAATACTCTGTGAAATTAGCAACACACAGAACTAGTCAAGGCTGGAAAAAGCATGTAGAACATTCTTGACCTTGTGCCCCCTTTCAACCCTTGAGGGGTAACTATAAATAGGAAGTTATCAGAGCCCTTGTTTCCTTCAGAGTACACGAAGCACTTTCCTTTTCCCTTCATTTCTAGAAGCAGATAGCATAAGCACCAGAGCAAGTCAGTAGAAGGAAGGAGAAACGGCAGTACATTGTAAAAAAAGGAAATATACAGTCCACTAAGCTAATTAGTGGATTAGGGATAGATTAATGTAGGCATCTAGTCAATTTGAATTGGACTGTTCCCTAAAATTTGCAGTGAGCATTATGAAGAAATCACTTCAGCTAAAGAAAAGGTATGATGGGTTGAAGCTGCATTTATACAGGCTCATGTGCATGTATGTATACATATGTGTGTAATTTTTTTCCCCAGGGACTCAATAGATCTTGATAATCCACAGGAGAACATTAAGGCCACCCAGCTCCTGGAGGGCCTGGTGCAGGAGCTGCAGAAGAAGGCGGAGCACCAAGTCGGGGAAGATGGGTTCTTACTGAAGATCAAGCTGGGGCACTATGCCACGCAGCTCCAGGTGGGTGTGAATGCCGGATCACACTTAATTCTTTTCCCTAGGAGAGACTCTTCATTTAGTACCTCCCTGGAGCTTTTCCTTCTCTTCTTCAACCCAGTGTTGTTGACTTAACCTGTTAGGTGTAAAAAGTTCTTATTGTCTGGCTTTGTGATTGTAGCCTTTTATTTTTAAACTTTTTATTTGAAAACAAGTTTGTAGGAAGTTGCAGGATTGATGCAAAGAACCCCTACATATGCCCAGATCCACCCACTGTTAATATTTGCTTTATCATATTCTGTCTCTATACACACACATTTTTGTCACTTGAGAGTAAGTTGCATACATCATGTCCCTTTGCCCCTAAGTACTTCAGTGTGCATTTTCTCTACATGGTTATAGTACAGTTTTCAACTTCAGTACGTGTCACATTGACAAAACACTGTTAGGTAATCATATCTATATTTCCATTTTGTCAGCTGACTCAATAATATCCTTTATGTCATTTTTTTTTCCTTCAGCCCAGGACCACATATTGCATCTGGTTATCATGTCTCTTTAATTGCCTTTAATCTGGAACTGTTTCAACCTTTGTCTTTCATTACATTGGCTTTTTTTTTAAGATTTTATTTATTATTATTTTTTAAGATTTTATTTATTTATTTGACAGAGAGAGAGACACAGCGAGAGAGGGAACACAAGCAGGGGGAGTGGGAGAGGGAGAAGCAGGCTTCTGGCAGAGTAGGGAGCCCAATGCGGGGCTTGATCCCAGGACCTCGGATCATGACCTGAGCCAAAGGCAGTCGCTCAATGACTGAGCCACCCAGGCGCCCCTAAGATTTTATTTTTAAGTAAGCTCTACACCCAATGTGGGGCTTGAACTCAACCTGAGATCAAGAGTTGCATGCTCCACCAACTGAGTCAGCCAGGTGCCCCTGCCTTGAAATTTTAAAATAATTCAGCTCATCTATTTTTAAAGATATTTTAGATATCATTAGATTCAGGTTACACATCCCTGATCAGAATTTTGAGTAAGTGATGTTGTGTCCTTCTCAGGATATCACATCTGGAGACATACACCATCCATGTTCCCTGCATTGGTGGTAGTAATTTTGATTACTCAGTCAAGATGGAGTCCAATTTCTCCTGATGTGGTCCTTTTGAAATTTATGTATCCTTTTTCGAGGAATGATGCCCTAGTACTTTAGGCATATTAAGAGGCAAGAAGTAAAATGATCTTACCTTCTCATTGTAATTGGGTTTCCTATGACATACTTTTCTTGCGCCCACTAGTATTAGAGGAGCAGCATTGCTTGTGATTATGCCGTCGTGTCTCCAGGAGTCTCCTCCATCATAAAATCTTACCCCTGCTCTGAGGTAGGGTTAGGCCCTATAACATGGTGTGGGACAAAGTGATGTCTGCTGTTGGATTCTTTCAGAACACGTACGACCGCTGTCCCATGGAGCTGGTCCGCTGCATCCGACATATTCTGTACAATGAACAGAGGCTGGTGCGAGAAGCCAACAATGTGAGTGTCCTATGGTGTGGGGAGAGGAGCTGGGAAGTCCTTCTCTCTGGACCCATATTTCTTAAGATAATTCAGTGTGCATCTGTTGGTATCTCTATAAACAGAGCACAAAACAGGGGCACAAAAGTAATTAGAATGGTCTCTGATCTGATTGATCCATAACCTTGATGAGATTATCACCACAAAGCAATGTGGACAAGTGCAGAATAATTTAACCCCAACTGAATGGTTTTTGAGTAAAGGCATGCTCATATTCAGGTGAGATTACTTAAGAAGGATTTCTGCTGAGCCCCCTTTCAGCCAAGTGTTGAGGGAATGGCTGAGACCACGTCACTTAAATGGCTGGATCCATAAAAGACTTGTTGACGCCTCCCCTGTAACTTCATTTTGGGGTTTCTGGGATGCTGTCTGTGAGAGGTTCAGCTTCTTCCCTCAGTTACAAGAAGGTCTTGAGTGAGGACACGGATGATGTGTGTTCACACAGCCTTGTTCTGCGCTGTGTCCCCAGCGCCTCACATGGTCCATGGCATTGGATTGGTGAACGAATGTGGAATGAAGGGGTCATCATCATTAGTAGGCAAACCCAGGTCACTCCTGGATGTGTTGAGTTCTAGTCTCTCTGAAGAGAGCTTAGGTGGATCCTTTTTGGGTGACTCAGGTGGAGGCCAGAGCTACAACAGAAGTTTCTGCTGTGCTTTATGAAGTTGTCCTAATCTGCCAGCTCACCTGTTTCCCCTCCTTTCCAACTCCACACCAATTCTGGTAAATGACTATCCTTCTGACACAAGTTACCCATCTTACTCTAGATTTGGAGTTTGGGGTCTATAGTATTAGCATTCCCCAAAGCCTGAGGTTGCCTTCCATCCTCACTGCTCAGCTCACTGCTGCCTGCACTCTCCCCAATCTGTTTCCAGGGTACTTCTCCAGTTGGAAGTCTTGCTGACACCATGTCCCAGAAGCACCTCCAGATCAACCAGACGTTTGAGGAGCTGCGACTGGTCACACAGGACACAGAGAATGAGCTGAAGAAGCTTCAGCAGACTCAAGAGTATTTCATCATCCAATATCAGGAGAGCCTGAGGATCCAGGGTGAGGCTCGGGTGGCCTGGGCAGTGTGTGTCATGAGGGCTAGAAGGAAGTTCAGGTCAAATTGGAAGAGAACCGGGTTTCTGTTCAGAGGCACTCCCCCTTCTCTGGAGTAGCAGGAATTTGCACTAACTTTGGGCAGGGAGGAGGAGGCTTAGGAAGGGGAGAGGTCACAAGCTTGCCTTTGGGGAATGTGGGTCTCACTCAGGTTTCCCACACCCAGGGAGCTCCTTGTTTGTTGGGGACGACATTTCCTCCTGTGGGAAGAAGCTCATGATCTAGTAAAAAACACTTTTGTATATAATTGGTGTTTCATAAATGCTGCTTTACTGAAATGTTAAATTCTCTATGCAGGCAAAGTATAAGGGCTAAGGGCTGTGTTTGTGATGACAAATGTTTAATGTTTTTTGTGCGGTTATTCAGAGAGGTTGTCCTGGCACAGTGCATGCTAACATGCCTCCCTTAGCCCTTATGGACAAAGCTCCCCTTCCTTGTGTAAATCCTGCAAGGTACTTGGGTACTGAAAACTTCAGCGTGAGGTTATGGAGCCCCACCGGTGCCCCGTATTGACCTTGTAAGAATTTGACAGGGTGACTTTAATTAATTTCTCTCTCCCTGCCAGCATACCCAGCTGAGAATCTCAGAAAAGCCTCTACTTGATCAACTGGCTACAGACACATACTCACCTGTACACAAGTGCTCCTCTAATACCATGCATGCGGGCTCACGCTTACAGCTGGATAGATATTATTTATTAATAACTCCAGCTTCCTCACTAGAATATAAATTCGTTGAGAAGGGATTGTGCCTTCTATCTCTGTACCCTGAGGCTGGCACATTGCCAGAATCATAGTAGGTGTTGAGTAAATGTTGGTGGGATGATTCTAGCATGTCTTCCTCTGAATCCATCTTGGACTGACCCCAGAGAAAGGGTGGCCCTCTTCCTAGATTAGGGAACAGGAGAATTTAGGCTGTTAGTTCTTCTTTTTTTTTTTTTTAAGATTTTATTTATTTATTTGAGAGAGAGAGAGAATGAGGTAGGGGAGGAGCAGAGGGAGAGGGAAAAGCTGACTCCCCGCTGAGCACAGAGCCTGACCCGAGGCTCGATCCCAGGACCCAGAGATCATGACCTGAGCAGAAGTCACACGCTCTCCTCCAGGCTGTCAGTTCTGCCCCAAGCCTTTGATGGTTGATAGTACTTCCAGTCCTATTCTTGGGTTTTCTGTTTCCGATTTATGGGTTTGGGTTAGGTTCTGCTTTGGGTTTGTACCCATCATGCAATGTCAGTTCAGTCTCATTTATCAGGTTCACTTATCAGAAACACAGACTATTGTTCTGTTTGTGCAAGAGAAGGCTCAGCTTCCTCCAGTGGAGCAGAGAATTGCCCCACACCTCCTGACCTCCCTCCCAGAAGCTTCTGCAAAGTGCCAGGAGACACCTAGGTGGGTCACTCACATAGGAAGGTAGGGCCCAGGTGGGGGGATCACCGGCACCCCCGTGTGGGTGGCAGGATTTCTGAGGTGGCCTCAGGACCACTCTGCTGTGTGCCACGGCTGGACTGTAGTCTTCTCTCTCAGTCCCTGGCCGTGGGATCAGAACCTTGTATTTCCAGTTCTCTCCTAGTGCTGGGCTTTCCCTGGCTGTCAGGAGTTGCTTTAGTCTGTCCCAGCTTGTGTGTCCCTGAGGGAGGGCCTTGGTCGGTGTGACATGGCCCTCGACCACGACAGGCTGGTGCTCGCATCTCCTTGTCTCAGCCCAAGTGAGGACACAGGGATGTTCAGCAAGGTGATGGGCAGGCCGTCATAATCCCAGCACGGAGGATAGTGGCTACCTTTGGAGGCAGGGATGGGTTTGCAAGCAGGGAAGGATATACAGGTGGCTTTCGCTGTGGCTTCTCAAGCTGGGTTACTGATACACAGATGTTCCTTGCATCACTCTTTCTACCTTCCCTGGGTCTGAAGTATTTCATAATAGATTTTTTGTAGAAGGGTAAGGAGGCCTCCCTGACTCCCTATTCCTGCCGTGGATGAGAGTCCCAGTGCTAGTGTGGGGAGAAGCTGTCTCCCTCTCCCCCCCTTCTCCGTCTGTGCCTGTCTGTCCCTGTCTGTGCCTCTCTGTCTCCTTCCGGTTGGTCAGCTGAGCTCACGGTCACCCGACCTGGACAAACCAACATGTTGGGCCCCCTCCAGCACCTAGAGAAACCCCTTGTTCCAGAGGAGAGGCTGCTGGGCTCCGGGGGCGGGACAGAGCGTGCGGGGCGGGGTCTCTCCCGAGGAGGCCCTGCCTTGTGGGGTGGGACTGAGCAGCTGCTGGTCTCTGTCACCCTTTAACCCGCCCTGGAAGCCACTCCCCAGGAGGGACTAACTCTCACCTAGAGCGCCCGCGTGCCGGGAGGTTCCTTGAGCCTTTTGTGGATCATCACTTCCTTACTCCTCAGCGACCCACTGAGGCAGGGGCCGAGACTCTCCCCTTCTGCACATGGGCAGACTGAGGCCGCGAAGAGTGAAATGATTTGCCCGAGTCCCCCCAGTTAGTAAACGGTGAGGGCACACACGGAACCAGGCAGCGAGGCTCCGCGCTGGACCCCCGTGTGGCGTGGGCAGGTCTGGCGGGCAGCTGTGCAGACTAAGGTGGGAGGGGAGGCCTCGGGGCAGGATCCTCCTCAGCTGTGCCCTCAGGCTTCCATCTGCACACTCCCTGAAGGGGAGATCAAAGTCGAGAGGCCAGGGCCCAGAGCCCGCTCACGTCTGGCACCCTTGGCTTCTAGAACCCCAAGTTGCCGTTGGTCAGATGTTGGGCAGCCCCTTGAGGGTCTTGCCTCCAGAACAGGTGTGTGTGTTCCGCTGGGCTTCGTGCAGGAAGCTGGGAGATGGTGATCACAGGTGTCCCGTCCCCTCCTGTAGCTCAGTTTGGCGGGCTGGCCCAGCTGAGTCCCCAGGAGCGGCTGAGCCGGGAGACGGCCCTGCAGCAGAAGCAGGTGTCCCTGGAGGCCTGGCTGCAGCGCGAGGCCCAGACGCTACAGCAGTACCGCGTGGTAAGTGGCATCTGCGTCCTCCCCTCCCACGCTCGGAGGCCCACATCCCAAGCCGTCCGGGGAGCCCGAGAGAGGGCTAGGGCCAGGGAGAGAGCGGGACCCGGGAGAGCTGGAGGCCAGATCCTTCTTTCCTGTGGGGGGCACGTGAGGCAGAGCAGGTTTGGGAGAGGGGAGGGCCTGTGCCCGGGGCCTGGTCCCCAGCCCTGCCTCCCGAGTGAGGGCTGTTCTCTGGGAGCCCAGAAGGGCCTGCTGTCCCCGCCTGCCTTCAGGAGCTGGCCGAGAAGCACCAGAAGACCCTGCAGCTGCTGCGGAAGCAGCAGACCATCATTCTGGACGATGAGCTGATCCAGTGGAAGCGGCGGCAACAGCTGGCCGGGAACGGAGGGCCCCCCGAGGGCAGCCTGGACGTGCTGCAGTCCTGGTAATGGTGTATGGGGGGCGGCCGGGGGGGCAGGAGCGCCGCCACCAGCTGCTCCTGCCGCCGCCCGCGTTTCCCCGAGCAGCCGGCTCGCGCTGGCCCGTAGCAAGGCTTCCTTCACCGGGGCTTCTGGCTCCTGACGCCGACCTGGGGGCCCCCATCGTGTGCCACCTGCCCAGGAAGGGAGTCCCTGTGCTGGGGAGGGGGGCAGGGCTGGGTGTGCAGAGCGACCCTCAGGCGGAGTGGAGCCGGGTCAGGGGTGCGGCCCTGCGCCCCCGTGTTCCTGCCAGGCGGGGCGCTCTGCTCTGCTCCGTGGGCAGGAGCGGCGGCTCAGGAGCAGAGCCTTCCAGGGTGAGGGTGGAGCTGGGCCTTGGGGCATTCTCCCCAGACTGGAGCCCCTCGGCCTCGAGCCTGGGGGACGGGGTGACACCGTTGTCCTCCCGGTGGCCTGGGCCTCCCGTGCAGGTGTGAGAAGTTGGCCGAGATCATCTGGCAGAACCGGCAGCAGATCCGCAGGGCTGAGCACCTCTGTCAGCAGCTGCCCATCGCCGGCCCAGTGGAGGAGATGCTGGCTGAGGTCAATGCCACCATCACAGACATCATCTCAGCCCTGGTGACCAGGTGACTGCTGCCTCCGGCCACGCCGGCCCCCGGGTGGTTGGCATGCGGGGAGGCAGGGGTGCTTTGCCCACCGGGGTTGCCGCGGGTGGGGGTGGGGGCTCTCGTTGGAGTCCTTGTCTCCTTTGTCTCGGGCCCCCATCCCCCTCTGTCCTCAGTGGCAATTGGTGCTTGGCGTTGACCTTGCCCAGTGTGTGTTGTGGGCGCTCCGCGGCCTGCCCTTGTCCCCCCGCAGCCTGTGCCGGCTGCCGAGTCATGTCACTGCCTCCCCTCCCACCACCTCCTCTGACTCTCGGTGGCCTTGCTGGGCACAGGAGCTGTGCCGTGTGCCCTTCCTTTGCCTGCTGAGCCCCGGTAGCCTCCCCATGTGGGGGGACCAGGCCCTGTGCCCTGAGCCGGCATCATGTGTGGTCTGGTCACTTGTGTCCCCGCAGCACATTCATCATTGAGAAGCAGCCCCCTCAGGTCCTGAAGACCCAGACCAAGTTTGCAGCGACGGTGCGCCTGCTGGTGGGCGGGAAGCTGAACGTGCACATGAACCCCCCCCAGGTGAAGGCCACCATCATCAGTGAGCAGCAGGCCAAATCGCTGCTCAAGAATGAGAACACCCGCAAGTACGTGGGCCCTCCCCCTCATGTCTGCCTCTTTCCTCCAGTCCTTACAACAGGATCAAAATGCTCCAGCCTCCTAGGCAGGACTCTGGTTGCTGCTATTCATTGTAGGAGCCCCATTAGACCTTCTGGCCTCTTTTGGATCTCAGAAAAAGAATGGGAGGCCTTCTGTGGGAAAAGTACATGATTTTCATTCATTTAGTAGGAATACATCCAAGAAAATTTCTTTTATGTAATGTATGTTTATATCTTGTATATTTTATGCAGCTAACATTTCCTCTAAATGACATCCATTTTTATAACCTTCTTTATTGGGTCCCCCCAATATATTTTCTACCCCACATTTACTGAGACACTGCATGGGTCTAGGGTCGAGTCTCTCTCTGCTCTGCAGTGACTACAGTGGCGAGATCCTGAACAACTGCTGTGTGATGGAGTATCACCAGGCCACCGGCACCCTCAGCGCGCACTTCCGGAACATGGTGAGGATGGGAGAAGAAAAGAACAAATCTTCCCTCGTTGTTTGAGGGGTCTAACCCCTTTATTTGTCTCCTTTGCAGTCCCTGAAACGAATTAAGAGGTCAGACCGTCGTGGAGCAGAGTCAGTGACAGAAGAAAAATTTACAATCCTGTTTGAATCACAGTTCAGTGTTGGTGGAAATGAGCTGGTTTTTCAAGTCAAGGTAAAGCTCTCCCTCAGCTGTGGGATGTGTGTGTGTGTGTGTGTGTGTGTGTGCGCGCACGCACTTTGTATCACAAAAAAATTGTTTTGATCACATAGTGTCTTAACTGTCAGTGGACAGAAAGTGGGAGACGTCATCCTTAAAACTATGTATCTTAGATTCTCTTAAGATCTATAGTAACAAGCAATAGCAAATTGAAATAGCTGGAGATACAGGTAGGAGCGAATCAAGAAAACATCACTCTGGATGAATTGAGTAACAGTTGTACTAAGTTTAAGACATTTGTTACTTGCTATTTTTTCCCAGAAATATCTCCATACTCTTTCTCTTTTCTCTCTTGTTCTCCATTTGAGAAACTTACTGCATCCTTCAGAAATATCTAAGCCACATTTCTTAAAATATCTAAAATTTCTAAGATTGCACCACTGTGAAGAGTCCCATGATTCCTGGAGCCATTCAGATTTTATATTCAAGTATGACATTTACTCAAACTTGAAGAGAAAATGAGTGTGTTGTAATAAAAAGAAGAGCAAAAGAGGAACGTGTCGCTCTTGGCGCTCAGCCCTTCTCTTTTGTCTTTCTAGACCCTGTCCCTCCCGGTGGTGGTGATCGTCCATGGTAGCCAGGACAACAATGCGACGGCCACTGTTCTCTGGGACAATGCTTTTGCAGAGCCTGTGAGTCGACTCCCTGGGCCTGTGGGTCTCAAGATTTTGATGCTGGTGTCATGAATCTCTTTCATGTGTTCTCCCCCAGAAAAGCATAGAAAAGTATACTTTCTGGGAGGCAGAGAGTATGTGGAGAATGGAAAGAGCGTAGGCTTGGAGTCCGGCCAAGGGTTAAACTCACGCCCCGCCGTTTCCTCACGTTGTGACTATGGGAACTTCACTTTCTCTCTTTGAGCCTAAGTTTCCCTAAGTGTCTACACCACAGGGATAATAGTGCTCCTTAGTGCTGTTAGAAAGATGAAATTAGGTAACATTCAGGGATACCTGGCTGGCACAGTCGGTAGAGCATGCAAGTCTTGATCTTGGGATCATAAATTCAGGTCCCATTTTGGGCATATAGTTTACTTAAAAAAATAAATGAAATCAGGTAACATACAAAATGCTTGTCACCTGGTCAATACTTAGTGAATATTCTTTTGAATCCTTGGGTCAGACCATGAATGGAATTTGGGACTCCAGAAGGTAGACCTCTCATGACGTTACTTATAGTTTAGCAGTTGCTTCCTGCCATCTTCCCTCCAGTAAACAAGGGTGCCATTTAAAATGTCTTTTCCAAATTTTAGGTTCTGTGATTCATGCCAACTCTCATGAAGAATGAGATGCTTTGTCTAAGGGAATGAATATGATTTTGTGGATTTATGCATCAAATACTATCTGAATACCCCTAGTGTACACTTGATGAGCATTTTCAAAACATTTCATCAGGAAGAGTTCTAGGTATTACACATTTCCAGGAGCGAGTACTCCATGAAAGCCTGGTAAAAGGTTATGGTTGGTATTCAGGGTGTAAAAGTATGTCCTCTCACATCACTCTAACGTGAAGAGTCTCACTGAGTTCTCTCAACAGTCCTCTTTACAGAACAATATTTTTGCCGCAAAGGTGAGATTTATAGCAGAAATTCTCCCATGCCCATTCTGCAGATCCTGAGTTTGAGGCTTCTCTTAAAACTGTCTGCCTGCAGCATGTCCTGATAAGCCTCCTGGATAGGATTGCCACCTCTCCTCTCATTCCCCTCCCTGCCTGTCCACCGAGCTCATTCCTCATGTCACGTTGGCAGCTCTTGCAACATGTCATTGCTAAATAAATTGCCTAAATTTAGGCAATGCCTAAATAAATAAGCATTTTTGGCATTTTCAGTTGTGTTCACGACTAGTGTACATCTTAATGCTCTTTTAAAATAAGTACTTGTGGGGATTTATTCTACAGATGTATTTCCATAAGTGTCAGATGACATTAGTACGTTGCAGCATTGTTTGTAATAGGCAAAGATCACTAGGCTGATACACAGATGTCTGTGTTTGGGGGCCTGGCTAACTATAGTCTTGTTCTTCCATATTGTGAAATATTTAGCAGCCACAAAAGCACATGTGTTTATGTGCTGATGTAAGGCCTTGCAGATACTAAGTGGAAAAAGGGAGAGGTAGAACATGTGGATTTTTTGCTACCATACATATATATATATCATGACCTGAGCCAAAAATCAAGAGTCAGATGCTTAACCGAGACAGCCATCCAGGTGTCCCCATTTATATTTTTAAACAGGAAAAGTTATATATATTTCCTAGCATGCATAGATCTCTTTGGAGGCATACACAATAAACTAGGTTATATGCTCAGGGCAGAGGAACCGGGCTGCTGGGACACAGGGTTAAGAAAGCAACTTCAGGGGCGCCTGGGTGGCTCGGTTGGTTGAGCGACTGCCTTCGGCTCAGGTCGTGATCCCGGAGTCCCAGGATCAAGTCCCGCATCGGGCTCCCTGCTCAGTGGGGAGTCTGCTTCTCCCTCTGACCCTCCTCCCTCTCATGCTCTCTGTCTCTCATTCTCTCT